ACTAGTATTATAATTAGAGATTTTGTAATTAATGTCAATAAAACTTCTTAATAATATGATTCGGCTTCCATAATTTTTAATATAAAGGTGCATGTGGCGCAACGCTTTTGATTAGCAAGTTGTAAATGTGAGAAGACTGTTCAAGGTAACATTAAATTTTTGATTTTTGAAGTACATCGTTTTTAAGTTGACGAATAGAAATAAAAATCCTGTCACTAAACTAAAATCAAGGAAGAAAGTGATAAGAATCACAGTCCCCAAGATATGATAAAACCTGAGATTGTATTGAGCAAAGATAATACTAGTGCAAGTGTACTAGAAGAAAATTTAAATTAATTAATAGGGAGATCAAAAATTCTAAATGATTCAGATGCTCAAACAGAGAGTGAGTTGAAAGTCGAAGCTGTTGAATTTGAAACTAAAGTTGAGTCCGCACAGGAAAAACTTAATTATTGCAGAGTCAACAGAAAATTGAAGGAATTAAATTAAGTTACGAATTCAGATAATGAAAAACAGTAGCATTCTTAATGAATCCATTAGATTCCCAAAACAAAAATAATTTGAAACTTACTCGTTTTCCAAAATTAACTATTTCATACATATTTATGGAAATTACACCCAGTGGACAAGATTTTAGAACTGTTCAAAATTTCAATCCACAGTAATGAACCTTAATCAAAAATCGTAGAAATTCAAATATTATAATCGCACCTATGTGACAACGCTGCAAATGGGATAGAACGTTTTTCTGGTTCGGAACCAAATTATGATCAAGTAGCTAAAATACTTGAAAACAGGTTTTATAGGAGAGGCATTATAAATTCACACATCCAGATACTCCTTAATCTTACACCAATAATTAAATCCAGTGACATTTTAAAATTTCGCAAACTTTTTGACATTACAGAAACTCAAATACGTAGCTTGAGATCACAGTATTTAAAACCCGAAATGTATAATCATATCGTAATTCCTGTACTAATGGAAATGTTGCTTTATAATATAACTTTAAAGTTAAAACCATTTATTATTCCTTTTTAATGTCGATGAGTTATTGCAGTTTGCTCAAAAAGTATTTAGAAAATCGGAAAGAAATTATTTCTTGCTCTCTACGCATAATTCAGAAAATACTTCATTGCAAAAAAAGTAAGTATTACATTTAACACCTTCTAGTTGCTGGTGCCAGTCAGTGAAAATAAAATTACTAATAAATGCCTGTTTCCTGAATATAAGCATGATAGGGAGAGGGGTTAATCATCCACAGTTGAAGAGGAAAGAAATTTGTTGCGCAAGCAAAAAAGAAATTTTTGTGTCTAAAATCAAAGCACCACATAAAGAAATGTAAAAGCGATGTCTTTTGCCGTAATGCAAAAGCAAGCATAACCGTTTTATTTGTTTTCGGTTTGAGGAAAAATTCAAGTGAAAAAAATAAAAAGATGAAGAATTACGAATTAGTTCTGTGCTTTAACATGATAAATGTAAAAGCATTGCGTAATAATCCGAACAAATACGCAGTCGATTCAAATAAGGTTGAACATTCTTAAAAAATTAAATCTGGAATAAACTAAAACTTCTTATTTTCTGAAAAACGATTCAGTATTTACGCTAGAAAATAAAACGCACATTAGAAAAGCATTTAACGCTATTAAAATAAAATTAGAGAATAATAAAACACCGAATTCTAAAATCTAAATTGAGGCAGAATATGGCAGAGATCCAATTTACCGCCTCCCAAATCTGAACAGATAAATTATAGATAAACAACTGAAAAGTTTACATCTCGCAGACTTGTGTGATTGTAAGGGAAAAATAACACTTCTCATATAGGCTAATTATAAGTTACTGGGAAATTAAAGCTTTTAGGTAGACATTTAGTGCTGTTGAAATGTTTTTCGGTTAATCCTTGCAAGTTAAGAGTGAATAAATATCAAACCTGAAAAGCAATCGTCTGATCCGTTAGAGTATACTGTAATGAAAACATCTGAATCGAAAATTCTATGTAAACATTCTCTCTATCAGGTTAGGCTGCCATGGAAGTCAGATGGTAAAAATGAGATGCACAATAATTAACAGGTTCACAACAACGATTTTTAACATTTAGATGGTGATTTCAGAACACCCCTAAACTTTTTATTCAATACCAGTTTAAATCATACCATTAACCCTGAAGATTTGAATTAATTTAATAAGATTATTTCCAAGTTCAAAATCACTCGCAGTGATCGAATCGCGAGGAAACTGATTTTCGTATTCAACGCTTGGACCACATGGACCTAAACGACATGGATGTAAATTGTCTATCCCTTCATAAGAAGCAATGTTTACCTTCTTATTATGTGTATCCATAGTAAAGTGACCACCGCTTCTGGCTTTAGTATTGGCCAACGCCTATAACAGCTAGATCCCGCCAATGGGCCAAAAAATAACTCTCTTATTTTTTTCTGGACTGATTCGAAAATTGCCCTTATCTGCATAAAAAATTCTGCAAAGACACTTAGGTTTTTCGTTAAAATCCTATCGAAAAAATTGCATTTAATATTAACCTCAAATTGGCATTACTTCCCCAGGAAAAATAACCCATCTGACTTGGTATAGGGAGGAGCTAAACTTCGTAAGCTGAAACGTGATCCTATATTATTTCCTGTGTGGTTTCCTATGATCCTATTTGCAGGATAATATATCGTTGAGGAAGGATTATGACATACCGTGAGAGAATTGATGACATTCATCAGTTTGAATTTACAGTAGTTGAAAAAAAGTTGAAAGACATCTCTAAATATAGTAGTTTGAGTAAATTATGAATAACTGGTTGGATGAAGCGATTCATATGTAAAAAACAGAAAAATGAATAACTTAACATTATTAACAGGAAAAATAATAACTTAACGTTATTTTTAACTGCTGTAGAAACAAGAGATGCCAAAAATGATTGGATTCGATCAGAACAAAAACGGCTTAATGCAATGGAGTCTTCGAGAAAAACAAAGTTGGAAAGACCTTCTTTATATCATATTAACTCCTTCCATGACAGGAGCTAGATATTGAGGGCTGATGGTAGAAAAAACAATCTAGTTTCTCACATTATCAGGTTCAATGTTCCGTCTTACTTTCTTTGGGGACATGCAAGGACCTGACTCGGAACAGAGAGCTTACTAAAGCTATGTTCAATAACTGTGGGAATTAGACAGGATACAAGAAGGGTATACAAACCTTTTTTTTCTCTATTTACAAATAATTCCGTACTTCGGAATACAAGCCCACTATTGTGTCTAAACGTAAGAATATTAAATTTAATAAACTCTACTTAACTTTAATAATAAGTGGAAGATTGGCCTTATATTACAGGAGCCGTATGTAGTACGAACTGTTAAACTACAATGTTTAAAATTATTAAAGGATTAACCTCTGGCCTGGAAGGCAACCAGCACGAGTAAAACTTCTAAGGTAACGGCTGCTCGACTAACTCCGTCTCTCTCCGTTGGCAAAAGCCACAACTTAAGTACTTGGCGTTCGCCAGACAAATTTTGCATAATAGTTAACGCTTTTAATTCTGGCCGGAAGTAGAAAATAAGAAGTGATAGTAAAGATTTAAAATAAAATAAACGTTAGTAAAACTTAAGATCCTTACAACATGATGAATAGCATCCGACTGGTCTCACTAATTTGATAGCAGAATGCATGATACATTGGATACACGTTCAAATGATGCATGGGGGGGGAATAATGATTTTGGCAAAAATTCGTAGTCCCACATTTCTACGTTTCCGGCATCAATTTTGCTAGTCCGATTAACGTAAAGAATGAAAGAAGTAGAAGTCAAAAATCTTATATAAGATTGTTTATTTGTCTTACAATTAGAGTCATATGTCTAAAACTAGCGCAAAGTCTCTCTATGGAATTCCAGAGATTCGTTACTAGGAGAGGCAATTGCCGAATAATTTCTTCAGACAACACAAACATTTTTCAAAGAAGGATAAAGTAACTCGAAAGTTTCTCTGAAATTTTGTCAAATCATAAATTTCAAGATCTTCTGACCAAAAAGAGAATCTATTGGAAATTTATAATAGAAGTAGGGCTTAGCGGAAAGGTTTCGTTGAAAGATTGATAAAATCTGTAAACGAGTGTTTAAGGAAAATTCTTGGTAATACTTTGCTGACGTTTGAAGAATTGTCAATGATTTTCACATAAATAGAAGTTGTTCTGAATTCTAGTCCAGTGACCTACGTATACAACCATCTCGAGATCTGTAGAAATCTCGAGGAAAAAGACATACGTAATAATTTCAAAATCAGAGAAAACATTGTTATTATTCTTCGAACGCTAATCTTTTAAATTAAACCTATACAAAGAAAAGAAATATAGGAAAAGATTGCTATTTGAAAAGGAAAACCTATGGAAGAAACGTTATTAAACGCTCGTGTAACCAGTTTATAACGTTGTCCATCTTTGACCTCTCTCTCCAAGTGAATCCCACTCAAAAATATTTGCTCAACTTTTAAGTGTGAAACCCAAAAGATAGTGTTAAAGTAATTATCAATGATGATTGTTTACAGTGTGAAATTTCGTTCATCATTCTGTCGCTATGTTTGCCTGTCAAAGAACTAAATATAACGAAGCTAATGCCGAGTTTATTACCATACGTCACGGCAAATTTTGTATTCGTAACAGAAAATTAAATTGTGGACAGATAGAGATTAAATTTAGTCAATTACCTCTCTCTTAAAATTCTGAATTCAAAAATATTAGTTATAAAATTTTCTGACTGGTACTGAAATTGTATTTCTTACCAGCAAACTATTGCGCAAATTTCAAATAACATAGTTCTGAGTAACATGCAAGTCGCAGAACACAACAAATATCTAGTTTATTTTCCCCATTTTAATGTTATTTCTGTTAGCTTCGCCCTTCTTTTTCGCGGAAGGAGGATACTAGCAGCACCTTCTTATTTAAAAATACACTTAAAATTATAGTGCGGATTTATGTATGAAGAAGGATTAGTCAGTGATTCTTAGATCAACATTTCAGCAATGTGTCATCCTTGTGCAGGGACCATACTAATCTTCTCTATATCGTTCCAATTTTAGTATGTGTACTGCCGAAGCAATGTGTGCCTGTTTCTAAAATTCAGAGAAAATATCAATGAAAGCAAAACTAGCATTTAACCAATTTAAAAGCATGTGGCTATGTAACGCGTTGGATAAAGCTGATCTGTCTTTTGCACAAAGTGATAAGTGAAAAAGAAAGTGATAATACATAAAATGAAAAGCGACAGTAATGCATATGTGCCGGATCATAAAATTTAGGCTCCGTAAAGAAGATCATTTTTAGTAAAAATGTTGTCCTACACAAAGATATTTCTGAATTCTTAATATTTCATTAAATTGTCATTATTTACAGCAATATCAGACGCATTTTTGTCCTTACGGATTGTAAATTTTGTATCTGCGACAACAGAAGAATTCACCATTAATCTGATGAATTAGTGAACTAAATATAGTTTAGAACGAAACTTTACAGCATCCTTCTCAATTCCACTTGTTTCGAACATTCCAATATTGGGCGTTTGGTAAACAGATTTAATTATTCGCTAGTAAGACTACCCATTTCCAATAACTTTGTTAAGCCTCGCGTAAGGCGTCTTAGAAACAAATAACAATACTTCTCAGTATGTGTTGGATGCATATTTAATATTTGCATTTCTTTTTTTCTTTGTATATTTTATTTCCTCACTGCTTAATTTTATGTTATGATTTTTGCAATAATCTTGTTACTGGCAACGTGCTTTATTATTTACTATTAAGTTTGTGTGAGTGGCAACAGTTGTTCATGTTTATGTTTCAGTAGAATAGCGTTCTTAGCCGCACTGCGCTGCAGGCAATTTTTCTCTTAAATATTTCTTTTAGAATAAGCAATAAAGTTTATTATACAAAGCTGATGCCTTTAGTTCAAGGCAACTATTTGGTTCCCCAGGTGAGGCATTTAATGCTATTTAATGTGTTATTATATATGCTTTAGAACTGTGTTTTAACGAACTTTTAAGTACTGGTACTGCGAATCGTCTGCGTGACGTCAGAAAGATAAGCGGAAATATTTTTTGCTGCTTAAGTATCTTGTTGAAGTTATTTGTGCTTATTAATCATTATTCATGGTAATAATGACAGAATTAAGTGAATCTGATCTTAAAAGATTAAGAGGACGAACGAAATCTACCCTAACGCGGCTTCACAATAGTTTCAGTAATCAGTTAAGTTTAACGGAATTAAAAGCACGATTAGAAAGAATTGAACAAATATTTAAAGAATTTGATCAATATGATGCTGCTTTACCGAAGAAGCTTCTGAAATTGCTGAATTCGAAGCTAAATATTTTGAAACGAAAAGTAATGTATCAATCCGCCATTGAATCCGTAACGGCCAGAAATGTTTTGATTTCAAATCCCACTGCAGTTGAGGCTAGCTTTAAACTTCCGCGTTTAAACATTCCGAGTTTCAATGGTAAATATACTGATTGGCTTAATTTTAAAGATCTGTACATGGCGACAGTTCATACCAATCAGTCATTAGCGAAAATTCAGAAATTCCAATATTTGATAGGACTTTTAAAAGACGAACCAGCTGCTATTATTAAGCACATTCCGATTTCCGAAACTACATACGATGAGGCTTGGGACAAATTGATGAATCGTTATGATAGAAAAAATCAAATTGTAATGTCGCTTGTCAGAACATTTCTTGAGCAACCCAAAATTACTAGCGCTGATTCTGTTAATCTAAGAAAACTATCTGATACATCTGATGAAGTTATCCGTGGATTAAAATCTCTTGGCGAAAAGGCTTCGTCTAGAGATGTTTGGCTAATTTATTTTTTGTTAGAAAAAGTCGATCCGGAAACGCGCCATTTATGGTCACAAAAAAATGGTGAAGAAGAATTTCCTACCTTAGAATGTTTTTTGGAATTCTTAAACTCAAGGTGTGTTTCACTTGAAATGTTAAACACTCATAATAATGAAAAGCGAGTATCGCATAAAAATCAGTGCTCTGTTTCGAAGAATGTTTCACATAATAATAAAAATTCTGTTCTAAAATGTCAGCATTGCAATGGTTCTCATTTTTTATCAAAGTGTTATAAATTTAAAGGTGCAGATATTACGACTAGGAAAAATATCATTCGCAAGAATTTATTATGCTTCAATTGTTTCGGAAATCATCAATTAAAATTTTGTTCATCGCAGAATGTGTGTTCTATTTGCAAAGCAAAACACCATACTTTACTGCATGAAGATATTAAAAGTAATAACGTAGTTGTGTCAAATTCATCTCCATCTGATGAACAAATTTCTAATTCAGACGAACAAAATAATATTTCGAGTTTTTCTATTCAGGGTCAGAGTACTTCATTTTTACCAACGGCGGCAGTAATAATTTACGATTCTGCTGGTCAAGGTCACGAATGTATCATTCTTTTTGACAGTGGAAGTGAAGCTTCTTTCATCAGTGAATCATTTATTCGACTAATTAAATATACGCAGACAAAATGCCCGTATTTGCGTAAAGGGACTTGGTGATTCTGAAGCAGCTTTGACTCGTGGTTATGTAAATGTAAAATTGTTTCCGAAATCTGAGTTGAAAAAAAATGGTGTTTTAATACAAGCATATATTCTTAAAAAATTAACTTCGCATTTGCCTTCAGTAAAGATTGATAGCAAGGACCTTGATTATTTGAATTCAATTAATCTTGCAGATCCGAATTTCAGTACGCCCAAACAAATAGACATGATAATTGGAGCTGACTATTTCTTTTCTCTGCTTCAGCCAGGGCAGATTGTTGGCTATAAAAATGTAATTGCGCAAAATACTATTTTTGGTTGGGTTGTATCAGGCAGAATTAAAACAGAAGGCAACTACTCCGCATCCCATTAGTGTTAATCGCATTAGTTTACATATTGAGGATAACGTCGATGCAACACTTAAGCGTTTTTGGGAGTTGGAAGAATTAACGTTCCAAAATCAGAAATCAACGATTGAAGAAGAGTTTTGTGAGAAGCATTTTAAAGAAAATTATCGAGTAAACGGAAATGGCAGATTTGTTGTCCGACTGCCCATTTTCAGTAATGCTGAAGAGTTAGGCGACTCCAAACCTTTGGCTATTTCTCGTCTTCTATCCATGGAAAGAAAATTTGATTTAGATAAAGAACTTGGTAGGCAATACAAGGAGTTCATGCAAGAATACGAAACTTTAAATCATATGGTTCCAGTTGTTGAGAATGAAGAAAATAAGCAAGTATATTATCTACCGCATCATGCTGTTGTTAAACCAAGTAGCTCTACCACTAAACTTCGTGTAGTATTTGACGGTTCATGTAAACCTAAAAATTCAGTTTCTTTGAACTCTGTTTTAGGGGTAGGTGCAACACTACAACGAGATATATTTTTCAATATTGCTCAACTTTTGTATACATAAAATAGCTTTTTCTGCTGACATAGAAAAAATGTACCGCCAGATTTTAGTAGATAATGAGGATCAACATTTACAAAGAATTGTTTGGAGAGAATCTGTTAATTCAAAAATGCAGACATATAAATTATGTACAGTTACATATGGCACTGCATCTGCACCATTTTTAGCAACACGCTGTTTGTGGCAAATTGCTTTGGATGCAGAACAGGATCATCCTCATGTATCTTCCGTTCTTAAAAATGATTTCTATGTAGATGATTGTTTATCTGGAGCAAACAATTTAGAGGAAGCAGTTGACCTATGTTCTAAGCTTTCACAGCTATTAAGAGAAACGTGGATTTAATTTAAGGAAATGGAGATCAAACTGCTCAAAGCTTCTCGAAAATTTATCCATTGATAATCATGAAGAAGTGACCTGGAAGTTCACTCAGATGAATGTGCCAAGACTTTACTTTAGGGCTGTTTTGGAACTCTACAGAAGACGTATTTTTATTTAACATTTCTATGGATTTTGGGACTGAAATTACTAAAAGAAGGTTCATTTCTCAATCTTCTAAAATCTTTGATCCTCTTGGCTTGCTATCACCATGTACAGTCAAGTTGAAAATGTTTTATCAGCAATTGTGGTTTTTAAAACTTGACTGGGATGCCCCACTGCCTAAAGAATGGGAAGAGAAGTTGCAGCGACTTCAAGAAGATCTTAAGGCTCTCAAAAATGTTAAAATTTCGAGGTGGCTTCAAACTACGTCTAACCACATCTATCTGCATGGTTTTTGTGACGCGTCAGAATCTGCTTACGCTGCTGTTATCTACTGTGTTCAACCAACATCTCACGACAGAAATGAAGTCAATTTGGTGGTTGCTAAAACCAAAGTTGCTCCCATTAAACAAGTGTCCATACCTAGACTGGAACTCCTAGGTGCATTGCTCCTTGCCAGATTAATCAAAGCTGTCCGTAAAGCCTTCTCCACCACTGAAATTTCCTTTCACGCTTGGACTGACTCTAAGGTTGTTCTCTGTTGGTTAGCAGCTCATCCTCGAAAATGGAAGCCTTTTGTGGCAAACAGGACTTCAGAAATATTAGATGCTATTCCCTATCAACAGTGGAGCTATATTTCGTCGAAACAGAATCCTGCCGATCTTCCTTCTAGAGGAATCGATCCTAAAGTTCTACCGAACATATCCCTATGGTGGCATGGGCCATCATTCTTAGCGTTCGACAGTTCAAAGTGGCCTCTACAATGTTCTGTCAGTAATAATGAGACTAACAGTGATGCAACTGTCTTAACTGAACAAAGGACAAAATCAATTTTTTGTACAACAGCTTATTTGACTAATGACACTCTGGACAATTTATTTCAGAACTGTTCTTCTTTATCTAAAATAGTTAATGTAATTTCTTTTTGTTTAAGATTTATTTCTAGGTGCAAGAACGGGTTCGGGTCTTTGGTTCTGAAGATAATAGGTTAAAAAGTCCTGCAGTAGTACCTTCATCTAATGAAAGGCAAGCAGCTATGAAGTTGATCATTAAATGGATCCAGTTTGTGCACTTCCATAAAGATATAAAGGATCTCAAAAATAATTCATCTTTAAGTCCTAAAAGTGTTTTAAGCTCACTTTTTCCTTTTCTAGATGATGATGGTGTTTTA